GATCATCTTCTGATAAGTGAGTGTGTAGTTATTTCTTCTAACGCATAATTATGAAGTATTTTATACGAAATACGTGTTATGTGTATAATTTTGTTGTTATGTGCGTGAATGTATATTCACTCTTTTCAATCTCATAGATCTGAATTGTTTTCTATGAAATACGTGTTATGTGGGTATGCCTCATCTGTTATGTGAAATATGTATTGATGAAAATGCTATACAGGTTTTAAACTATGTATAAAAATATATATTTTTATCTACTAATATGTTGGGTAGAACATGGGTAGATAGTTGGTGTGTAATAAACAGATGAGAGGCCTCGATGTTGTTGTTGTTGACCTAGTTATTCAGCGGAGTATGGATAACGACCACAGACTCCTTCTAGACAGTCTCGTGGAACGCTAGCAGGTTCATAACCTGTAGGTGTTGTGAACGATGTGTTCACCGGTGTACTCTATCCCCCTCATGGTTGCCTTTAGGATATCTATTGTTGAGGAAACCCCTTAGCAGTAATGTCCGTCCCGATGAAAATCCTAGATTAGGTCCCTTGAGATAGATGTTGTTTTAGGGACGTAAAGTGAGGATAACGGGAATGGGTAATCGGGATAATGATTGGTTGGTGAAATTAAATATAATTATTTATTGTGGGTTGAAAACCCTATATGCTCACCAGGCTCCCAAGCCTGACCCACTCAGTTTTATTTGTATTACAGGAAGTGGCGCAAGGGCGTAAGATGGATGAATCAAGTTGTTTTGTTTACAAGTCTGTATATGTATATATTTGTTGAATGACTTGTAATGTTATTGTTTATGCTTAATGGTCTGTATCGGAACATGACACCCCGAGTTTTAATTATATAATGAAAATGCATCTCTTGATGAAATTATTTGATAAATATTATTTTATCATGTTTTGTTTTGGGAACAAATTCCGCAACTATTTCAAATCAAAAGGATTTACTCTGAATTTATTTTAAAAGCATAAATGAAAATCGGTCTTTTCTGGTCGTGATTTTGGGGATGTCACAGTTGGTATCAGAGCTGTGACTCGTCTTCGGATAATGCCTCCGAATTTTCAATTAAAAATAAATACAATTTAATTAATAAACTTCGGAAATTCATATCTTCTTCATACGAACTCCGTTTTTGACGTTCTTTATATCCACGGAAAGGTGAGACTACGCTCTACAACTTTCGTTTAGACTCTGTTGACTAATTTTGAATTTATTTTTTATTATTTATTTTTAATAGGCCGGGACAGAAAATTTCGTTATAAATTCATAACTTCTTCGTTTGACGTCCGTTCTCGCCTAACTTTTTATCGCTTTGATACTAACAACGAGATCTTCGATTCTCGTTTAGATCACTAAGGCTAAATATCACTTTAACGTAAATCTCACTTTTTACGTTATCCAGCGTTGCCGGTTCTGTCGTGAAACTTCGACAGGTCATAACTTCTTCGTTATAACTCGGATTTCGGCATTCTTTATATCTCCGGAAACCTTGTTTCAACTACTACAACATTATCTAAAGATATCAAGTTTAATTTACACTTAAATTTTGACGCTTATTTTTATTCTTTATTAATCAAACCACATAATTAAGCAATTAAGCACAAAACACATAATACTCAAATAATACAATCTTATTATTTCAAAACGGGTTACAAAGGTTAACCTAGACCATTACATTGCTAAAAATGGCAAGCCTGGAAACACAGGCGTTACATTATACAAGTTTCAACAACGCTCTCCTCCAAGAGAATTCTGGCTACAACTCGGGCCATGACATTTAAGGCATGCTCCGATATAGTGGATCACAATTGTTAACGTATTAATGTAAGGGTAATGTTTCTCGTTCTAGTATAGTTGTATATGTAATGTTCTAGAAAGTATTGACTCATGAATGAACTGACTCATTGTATGATATTGCGTTCTAGTATCTTCCTAAACTACCCATATGGTAGTTTACTAGCAGTCTAACTGGTACGTATGGTCATGGATCTATACCCTTACTAACTAAGGGCATGGGATGAACTGGAAAGACCTTTTATGACTATATATGTACACATGATATATAACTAATATTTAAATGATTTTCGGACGAATACCCAATATCCCACCAGACCACATCTCAAGGCGCGAAAAGGAAATAGGGTGGATAGCCTTCCTAAGTCTTTTAAACATTTCTTATATAACTATACATATAGAGGCATGCAATTTATAATATAAAAGCATAAATAAGTTTTGTAAGACATTTGAAATATAAGTATTATTTTAAGAAAAGATTGACTTGATGTCAATCTATAAAACAATTTGAAGGCATAAGTTTAATAAAACAGTTTAAGTATAAGGAAACATTTGTTTGAAACACAGTTGTAAATAAGTTTGAAAGGTAATGTACGGAGTAAGCTGTACAGTGTAAAAAGGAGTTTAAAACATATAAAATGTTTATAAAAAGTCATTTGAAGGAAACTGTTTGGTAAAACGGCTAATGAGTAGCCAAATCATTTGAATGTTGTATATTAATCACATGTGATTGATGTAATAACTAGCATAATTCTACTTATTAATCGCATGTGATTGATATAATACTAGCATGATTCTACTTGTATCCCCCCCCCCCATTAAACATTTAAAAGTAGTTTAAAACATTAGTTAAGGGGTATGAACTCACATGATTGAAGTGGTCGATTTGAAATAGTCTAGAGAAGAATCGAGCAGAACTTCGACAGGAAGAGTTGAAAACGCGGGAAATCTCGGGATTCTCGGGAATCTCGGGAATCTCGGGAACACAAAACCTTCCTTCAGGACTTGAAGGTGAAAAACCGGGGCTTTGGGAGGGTCTCGGGGGCTTAAACGCAGAGTTTCGGCGCGAGAAAGAGAAGATTGGAGCACCTAAACCCGACACCCCAAGAGTTCTATTTATAGGGGCATTTCTGGTGTGCCACGTCGTGGCTAAGGTTGGTCACGTCGTGGGGAGAAAGCCTTATCCCCTTCCGTTGATTGTACACCCTCAGTCACTTGCCGGGTCGCGGCCAAGCTGTGCCACGTCGTGGGGGCCTGACAGCCTCGGATTTTGGACCCCGAACTTGTAAAATCCATAACTTTCGCGTACGACCTCCGTTTTCGACGTTCTTTATATGCACGCGTAGCTAAAAACATGATCTACAACTCTAATTTAGACTTCATTGGCTAATTTTAACTTTAATTTTAATTATTTATTTTTAACGGTCCGGGATGCGATAATTCTGTTAAAAATCCATAACTTCTTCATCCGATGTCCGTTTTCGTCAGACTTTTCGCTGTTGCACTACTTTATTTAACCAAAATAAGATTTTAGGAAAGTTATATTTTGAGCTAAATATGATTGGTTTTACATTACATTGTCTCGAAATATCGGGTTGTCACAATACGGAATGACCAAATTACCCTTTTCTTGCATACATAAATGAATTACCTACATACCCTTATTTGTCATCAATAAATAAATGACCAACATACCCTTTTATGTCATAAATACTTAAATGACCAGATTACCCTTTTTCTTTCATACATACTTAAATGACCAAAATACCCTTTAATGTCACACATACTTAAATATAAATTACCAACATCCTATTACATAAACGTTAAATATAAATTACCATCATCCTATTACATAAACTTAAAATCCAATTTATCATCATCCCATTACATAAACTTTAAACACAAATTATAATAAACACTAATCAATTACAAGAGCTTTTCCCTTCGAATTTCCTGGATCATCAACACCACTAATTGTTTTGCCTAATTTCATCTTTAGTATTCTCTCTGACTTTCTTCTCCTTATCCTCTTCAAAATATCTGAAATTGGCCTAACACAAACCTGCTGAACTTGGTTAACAGGAGCAACCTCCTGAACATTACCATTATCCACTTGGGCATTATGATTAACCTCATCAACCTCCTGAACATTTACATTATCAACTTGTATAACAGGATCAACCTCCTCAGCCTCCTCATCTTGAACAACTTGCTCAACCACAACAACTTCCTCAACCACATCAGCTTCCTCACCCATAACACCCTCATCACCTTCATAACTTCTAGGTGGAGTAAATTGCACATATTGAATAAAATCCCCTACACTACTAGATTCAACATCAGTAGGAGCAACTTGCATATCATTTTGAGTAGTATCCATCTCAATTGGAGTCATTTCAACCTCTTCATGTTGTTGTGGTTCACTTGTACTACCCTACATGGCATGATATAATTATATTAGTAACAAATTATATGTAATTAATCTTATATTTTAAATTGTTTTACCTGTCCTGCATTTTGGTTCATACATACTTTTTGTTTCTTCTGTTTCTTCACATTTAACTTTTGGGGCCTTCTCTGTGGACAAGTTGCCTTGTTGTGACCTATCTCCTTGCAAATACTACATCTGATTTTCTTTCCAGCCTTAGAAACCCTGTGTGTTCCTGTATTCTCTGTAGTGGATTTCTTCCTCTTAGTAGTTGGCCTACCAGGCATCCTTCTATTAATAAGAGGCAATGGTGGAGTATAGTTTGTCTCTGGCCACATGTCACTGCTATTCATGGGAGCAATTCTGTAATTGTATATCTTTCTAAATGTGGTTGTGCTAAACATGTTGTCTACATAGGCTTCTACATCCCTATTAAGAAAGGATATGCGAGCTACAGAATGAGCACATCCATATCCATTCAATTGCCACAACCTACATGAGCATGTTTTTCTTTCTAAGTCCACCTCATATGCATCTATTGCTCCCCTTACCTCAAACTGGTTTAATCCACTTGGTAGTACCTGATAATGCCTTTGAGCTTTTTTAAGCAAATTCACCTTATCCCTTATCTCTGGACAAATATGATTTCCCCATTGTTGTCCCTTTAATTTCATGTTGTAGATTCTGTCCATCATGTATAATCTTATCTCCTCTAACATGGTTATTATGGGTTTCTTCCTAGCATCTACTATTACAGCATTAAAACTTTCTGAGAACCCATTTTCAATTGCATCACAACACCTTCCAGTTTGAAAGAAAGCTCTAGACCATGTTTTAGGATCTTTCTCCATGAGATATTGATGGGCTTCTGGGTTCAATGTCTCACTTTCTTTCATCACAACTTTAAAAGCATGCTCAGTTGTGGCTTTAGATGCTCTCCAAAACAAGGTATGATATATGGCACCAGTAAATCTCTTCTGCAAATTCTGACAAATATGTCTAGCACACTACCTGTGCTTTACATATGGCAGCAACTCTTTAACAGCCTCTATCAAACCCTGTATTAGTAAAAAGGTTAAATTCAGATAGTCTAAAATTAACATAAATGCATTACTATGTAAAATACTAACCTTATGTTGGTCTGACATTAAACTGAAACCATTGCCTAAATTCAACTGTAGATCATCAATGAGAAGCTCTAGAAACCACTTCCAATTCTGCTTGTTCTCCACATTAACCACTACCCAAGCAATAGGATATATCTTGTCATTTGCATCCCTCCCAATAGCACAAAGCAATTCTCCCTTACAAACACCTTTAAGAAAACATCCATCAAGACTAATTACCCTTCTACACCCTTCAATCCAACCTTGTTTAACTCCTTGAAAACAACAATAGAACTTGCTAAAATATTTCTTTCCATCTGGCCCATCCTCCATATCTAGTTTCACAGTTGACCCAAGATTTGTCCTTAAAATCTCATGACCATATGACCATAGCTTACCATAATGTTCAACAAGGTTTCCTTC